ATGTGTACAAGTTCACTTGTTCTACAGATGAATCTTTTCATAGGCATGAAACCTACTTAATGTTTCTGGGACCATTAATAATTTCCTACCATTTTATCTAAAACTAGTTTCTCAAACTTATTTTCACTTATTGTGTTTCACAAGTTCATGTTTGTGCTCCACTGATAGCAGGGTATTGCAATTTTCACTGTGAAACAGATGTTTTTTATGCAGTAGCTTGTTTTCTCAAGTGCTTACAACTCCAAAATGTAGATGTGAATACCATCCTTGCTTTTTAAATGTATTTTGCACATTCTATCACAAAAATATAAAGAAAAATATGAAACAGTGTGAACATTTTTATAACATTAAATTTACTTTGGTACAATATCACTCATGTTTCATGTTTATCTTTTGTTGCATACTTATTTTGTAATTTCTCATTTATGAATTTTTCTATAATTCTTCAGATTATGGTTCTTAAAGATGATATTCACCAGGCAGGTAAATCCTGTCAGTTGCTATTTCCCCTATGATATTATCATGTAATATAGTTGCAGTTAAGTGTGCTCACAGGTAAAAATAGGGTTTTTCTTTGCCATTGAAGTTTGCTGCATAGAAAGTGCATTTTTTGGCAAGTGCTTAGGATGTGCCAGGATATTGGCACAGTACAAAGAGCACTAGCTCAAACATGGAGCTGACTTCTATTACCACCCCAAGATTATGATAATACTATATTGTTTATTATTTCTGTGCTATTAATTATTTTAAGTATAGAAATTTTGGTCAAATTTTTAAACTTTTAGACCTTTAAACTGTATGTATTAGAATATTGTTCATTTGGAATTAGTGTAAGATATAGAGTTAAGTTGCACTTTTGCTTGTTCATTCAAGAAATAATTATTGAGTGTCTTCTAGTTACAGTGCATCATGCTGAAAGATTAACACTGATCTCAGCAGGCGTGAGTCCTGCTTCAGAGGGTTATATTCTATCTGAGAGAACAGCCTGAACAAGTAATTGTGGAATGTATTCTTTCCGTAAACATGCAGCATTGTGTATAAGGGAGAAGCATGGAGTCCAAGAGCCCAATTAACGGTCTCATGTAGGGATTCAGATTTGCTTTGGCTATCCTAGGAAGTGTAAGGGATGAAAAGTGTGAGCCTGGGGAGAGGGGCCAATTGTGTTGTGTGGGTGTAAGGGGACACAGACCCTGCTGTGGGTCTGGGTTTTGGACAGGAGGAAGGTCAACTGTCTCTCCTAGGTGACAGGCATGTAAGAGTGGCTGGAAAGGTAGATCAGGTTGAAGGTGAGGTAATGGTAGTTTAGTGAGTCACTAGCAAGTAGGCTGTTTTTCTCTTACCTGCTGAGAGTGAGGGAAAGCAGCAGGACAGGAGAAGAGTAGTGAATGTGTGCAAGGATTCTGGGAACTGGTAGAAACAGCAGAGACCCAGGTGTTTGTGGCTTTGCGTGGTTGTATGAGTTTTCTCCAGAGCTATTGAATTTTCCCTGTGTAGCATTAGAGATGGTGACTGGTTGGATTGATCCAAAGTTGATTATTTTCTTTAAAAAAAAATTGAATAATTTTTACAAGAGTAGTGAGACAATTTAAGTGATGACAAATGATGCATTCTATTTTGTTCAATTGAAAGCAAGAATTCAGTCATTTAACAGTGCTGTTGTTACTCTGTACTTTGAAAAGCATATCTGGAATGATGTGGGAACTGCCTTGTAGTGTTTGATAGGACAGGGTACTGCCTGGCCTGGGACCAGCACCTTTTATATGCTTGTTTATAATGTGAATGCTCAAGCCATAAATAATGAAAAATCTGTATTTGTAGTGTGTTATGTATTTCCTTGTAACATGGTGAATGGACACAAGAAAGAAGGAGAAAGAACAAATTTTTGTGTTGAGAAGGAATTGATGATAAGTGGAAGAGGAGGGAATGCCCAGGTTGCCTTTATCAAATCCATTCAGTCTAGAAACCTTGCTCAGGTTCTCTTTCTAGATAAGAAAGTTGAAATTCATATCCTTCAGTCAAGGTTGCTACCTGCTGATGTAATTGGAAAAAGAAATTTTTTCCCACTATGAAAGATTATTTTAGAACTGAAAATGTTCTTTTTGGTTGTTAATTTCTGTTAATGTTTTGAGTTGTCAGGAAAATTACGTTCCTGGATATATTGTATAAACTGTGTTCACTACTTTCTAGTTGGAACATAAGATAATCTTTTCTTTATTTTTTCTTTATTTTTTGACAGGCAAAGTTAGACAGTGAGAGAGAGAGAGGGAGAGACAGAAAGGTCTTCCTTCTGTTGGTTCACCCCCCAAATGGCCACTATGGCCGGCACACTGCGCCGATCCAAAGCAAGGAGCCAGGTGCTTCCTCCTGGTCTCCCATGCGGGTCCAGGGCCCAAGGACTTGGACCATCCTCCACTGCCCTCCCGGGCCACAGCAGAGAGCTGGAATGGAAGAGGAGCAACTGGGACAGAATCCGGCGCCCCAACCGGGACTAGAACCTGGGGTGCCGGCACTGCAGGCGGAGGATTAGCCAAGTGAGCCAAGGCGCCGGCCAAGATAATCTTTTCTTAATAATGTCCGTCCCAACAGGTGTATTTGTATTATTCTGATTGTATGTTTTAGTGCTTGCAGTTCCTTTGAAGTTTTAAATTTTATATGTTATTTAAATTAGAACACAAGATAGGTGTTATAGTGCATTGAGTTGCTACTTTATATGCCTGCAACCCATATCAGAGTGCTGGTGTTGAGTTCTGGCTATTCCACTTTCAATTCAACATTTCTGCTAATGCATGGCCTGGAAGATAGTAGATGATGTCTCAGGGACATGGGCCCTGTCACTCATGTGGGAGACCCAGATGGAGTTCCCAGCTCATGGCTTAACCTGGCTCAGTCCTGGCTGTTGAGGGCATTTGGTGAGTGAACAGTGGATAGAAAATCAATCTCTCTCTCTCTGTGTGTGCTTTTGAAATAGATGATAATAAATAAATTAACATTAATAAAAATTAGAACACAGTTTAGTGGCATCATATATATTAGCTTTCTGATTTTATGTAACATCTGTGATTCTTTTTTCTAAAAAAATTTTTCTTCTTTTTTTAACTAGCATGTTCCCTATGAAGTTTAGGGTCTGAAGTTTCCTTTTGTCTCTCTACTTCCTAAAGATAGAAAGAAAGCTCATTGTAAATATTTAGGAAAATGGATGCAGACTGGCAACTTCCTAGGTATGATTCCTTCTTTCTTTTTTTTTTTTTTTTTAAAGATTTTATTTATTTATTTGAGAGGTAGAGTTACAGACAGTGAGAGGGAGAGAGAGAGAAAGGTCTTCCGTCCGCTGATTCATTCCCGAAATGGCCACAATGGCCGTAGCTGTGCTGATGCAAAGCCAGGATCCAGGAGCTTCCTCTGGGTCTCCCACTCGGGTGCAGGGGACCAAGCACTTGGGCCATCTTCTACTGCCCTCTCAGGCCCCAGCAGAGAGCTGGATTGGAAGAGGACCAGCAGAGACTAGAACTGGTGCTCATATGGGGTGCCAGTGGCACAGGCGGAGGATTAACCCACTGTGCCATAGCGCCAGCCCCTGCTTTTTTTCTTAAAAGATTTATTTATTATTTATTTGAAAGGCAGAGTTACAGAGAAAGCAGGAGAAAGAGAGAGAGATCTATCTATCTTCCATCAGCTGGTTCAATCCCTAAATGACTGTAATGGCTGGGGCTGGGTCAGGCTGAAACCAGGAACTTATTCCAGGTCTCCCACATGGGTGCAGGGGCCCAAGCACTAGGGCCGTCCTCTGCTGCTTTCGCAGGTACATTATCAGGGAGCTGGATTGGAAGTGGAGTAGCTGGAATTTGAACCAGCACCCATATGGGATGCTGGCGTCTCCGGTGGCAGCTTACCCCACTGGGTCACAAAGCTGACCCTGAATCTTGTTTATTTTAATAAATTTCAGATTTAAGCACGGTTTTTATGAGATGGTGCCATTGAACTTATTTTTTAAAAATCATAGACTATCTTTTACAAGTATTTAACTTTTTATATGCCATATAGATTTTTCTTTCTGTTTATGTGAGAGACAGAGAGCAGGGATGGGGGGGGAGGGGGGGAGGGGAGGGGAGGGGAGAAGAGAGGAGAGAAAGAAAACGAGAGAGAGAGAGAGAGACAGAGTTCCTATCTGCTGGTTCATTTTCCAAATGCCCACAGAGCCAGGCTGGGCCAGGTCAAAACTGAGAACTGGGAACTCAATTCAGGTCTCCCATATGAATGAGAGAGACCCAAATGCCTGAACCATTATCTGCTGCATCCCAGGTTGTACATTAGCAGGAAGCTAGAATTGGGAGCAGAGCCAGGACTCTGCTAGGGTTTATGGGTGTCCCAACAAATGATTTAACCAGTTGGCCCAACACTGACTTCCCAGGTCTTTTTTTTTTTTTTTTAAAGTTCAACCATTTATTGAGTTTTTCTAATATATCTACCTGTGTGCTAAATGGAATCATTTCCCTTCAACCCAATGATGTCCTTCAGGGTGCGTGACAGTGTGGTCCCCGTGAAGGAAGAAGAAACAATATTAGATCCAGTTGGAGATCATACAAATATAGGCTTGTCTCAAAGCAGATACTGTCAGGGTTTTTTGTTCTTTAATATTTGTGTTTTATGTCAAGTGGTATTCTTTCTATATACTGCCTCTATTCAGAGGTATGTGAAATGTTGCAAGGCAGAATGCTTATTTATCAAACTATATCAAAGTTATAACTATCCGTGCCTTTCCTAACTATGTGTGTTAAGTAGTCTTAACTTGTGTTGATTTAATTTAGGAGACAAAATCGTCTTCATTTTTAAGAGGTGGAGAAAAAGCAAAGATGAAGATCAGCCTTTGAAAAGATAGGGGGTTTTGGATGCTCTCATGCTAACAAGTTCTAGTAAAATACCAGACCTTTCATCTAGACATTTGTGTGCGTGACTTTTTAAATGCTTTCCGAGTTTAAAAGTGTGCACTTCTTCTTGCATAGAGTTCTCAATACGTGCAGTGCGTTGCTGGGTGTTTGCAGCTGATGCTCCGGGTCAATGAGTACCGCTTTGCCTGGGTGGAAGCAGATGGGGTAAACTGGTGAGTGCCCTTTACTTTTAATGTAGAATAACATTGAAAAGTATTTCCCCTTGACATTTTCAAAGAAATTAATACATTTAATCATCTCAGTAGAGTACTATTTTTTTTTTTCATGTCTGTTTAACAATGGACTATGCTAACCTTCTTAGAAGTCAGTAACTATCAATCTGAATGTTTCCCTTCCCTTGCTTGGTCTGTGCTTTTATAAGAGGTTATAGTTTCCTAAGAACTTACTGCTGGTCAGAACAAATTCCAGGTATTTAGATAAAGAAATTACATAAGTATTTTGTGGTGAATGCAGGCAAAATCCATGAGAAAAGGTTGTACTCAGAAAAGAAGTGAGAATAAACCATTATTTCTAATGCCATATGATTTAGTTCATTCTTTGTGGGGTTTTCATTTGCAGGTATAGAAACTTTGAGGATATGCCTCTGCCTATTCAGGTTTAACAAACTGACCGAAATAAACAACCTAACACTCTCCTCACCTAAATAAATACTGGAAATCCTATTTTACTACCCGAAAGCCAACTTATTTCCTAATGAGAGATATAACTACTTTTAACCCAAATACCATTTAGTAAGGGCATTATTTTTCTGTTGGCAAATTTGTACAGGAAGCTAGGTTAAGAACAGATTGCTTAGTGAATGAGAATTTAGAACAAGAGTTGATTGAATGATCTCATACTAGTGTCGTTAGACTCCGTCAGACTCCTACAGTACTTCTCCAGTGTAGGGATATCCCTGTGAAAGGGACCCAAAGATTCTGAATGTCTCATTGGACCTTTGCATGAACTATTCTGGGGTAGGTTACTTTTGCAAATGGCTGCTATTAGGAATTGGACTTAATTGTCACAAACTACTCAATAGTTATCAACTTAGAAAGGTAGTAATTGTTCTTGTATTTATCTGAAGAATTTCAGTCTATTACTGCTTAGTCTTCAATATTCCAGGAAAAATGGGCATCTTAGTTTTCTATCTGGGTCCAGTAGACCCTTTTATATATAGTCATTTTATAAAAATTAAACGAATTAGATAATAGACTAATCTTGTAATAAGTAAATTTTGAGGCCAGTATTGTGGCATAGTGGGTGAAGCCAGTTCCTACAATGCCAACATCTCATATGGGTGCTGGTTCAACTCCTGGCTGCTCCACTCTGATCCAGCTCTCTGCTAATGGCCTGGGAAAAGCAGCAGAATATGGCCCAAGTTCTTGGACCCTGCTACCCATCTGGGAGACCTGGAAGAAGCTCCTGGCTTCATCATTGCAGCCATCTGGGGATGTGAACCAGTGGATGGAAGATCTCCTTCAGTAACTCTAACTTTCAAATATATAAATAAATCTTAAAGTAAATTTTGATGTACACATATCATAAAAGGTTAAAGAAAATCATGTCCTTGATCAAAATAGTGCAGCTTCTTGTTGCAGAGTATTTTCTCAAAATGTCTCATGTTGAATGGCTCGCTTGGTGAGAATGCTGTATTTTCTCCCTGTCCTTAAAAATACATTGTTCATTCATCAGTTTTTTTTTTTTTTGACAGGCAGAGTGGACAGTGAGAGAGAGAGACAGAGAGAAAGGTCTTCCTTTGCCGTTGGTTCACCCTCCAATGGCCGCCGCGGCTGGTGCGCTGTGGCCGGCGTACCGCGCTGATCTGAAGGCAGGAGCCAGGTGCTTATCCTGGTCTCCCATGGGGTGCAGGGCCCAAGTACTTGGGCCATCCTCCACTGCACTCCCTGGCCACAGCAGAGAGCTGGCCTTTCTTGATTTTGAGAGGAGTCATTCATGATGTAGTCATCTAAAGGCTCACCGTTGAAGATTTTACTTTAAAATGGTCATTTTCACCATCATTGTAAGAAAAGAGAGTGCTATTTATTACTTTCCCTCTTCTGATTAATAACTATGAAATGCCTTCCTCTGTTGATTGCCATTATGAATGGGAAATAAAAAATTCTGGATTCTTAGCTCTGTTTACACTGTGTTAGGAGACCGATTAGAAAGACTCATGGGACTCAGTTGAGAGTGATACTCATGGCTGAGAATTATTATAAAGAAATAGGATGCACAGCTGGATTGTAATCGATAAAGACACAGACTGAATCTGGAAGAATTCATCTGGAGGCTTCTTTATACCCTGTCCCTCCCATGAGATGGGTCATACAAATTGCATGTTCCCCCAGCAACTTAAATGTGGCAACATTTGTATGAGGTTCCTGTCCAGGAAACTCATTAGAGACTCAACTCCTGGGTATTTTACTGGTGGTTACTCAGGTAGGCACACTCTGCCTGTGACATACCAAAATATCAGAGTCCTGAGAAGAAAAGAGTTTATAACAGATTTCTGTAGACTGGGAGGCTTATAAGCAGTGGGAATTTATCTCACGGTTCTGGAGGTTGGGACATCCAAGATCAAGGCACTAGCAGATTTGCTGTCTGTTGAGGGCTTGCTTTCTGGTTCATAGATGGCCATATTTTCACATAATGACAAGTGATAGAAAAATGAGGGGTCTATCTTGGGCCTCTTCACAAGGACACTAATCTCAGTCATGAGGGCTGTACCCTTATAACCTTTATCACCCCCCAAAGGCTCCACCCTCTCATGCTATCACAATAGAGGCTAGGATTTCATTGTAGGAATTTTGAAGGAACATAAACATCTAAACCATAGCAGTATGCATTTAGCATAAACCATGTTCTACAAACTGTTCAGGTAGTGAGCTGCCTTTATCATTTAGGGAACAGTTTGTATCAGTGTAGGAAACCATTTACCAATGAAGTTGTCAGAAGCCAATCAAGAGCCAACGTTGCAAGCCTCTCTTTCTTTCTTTTTTTTTTTTTTAATTTTATTTAAGTTATACAACTTTCATATATTTCACACATACAGATGTTTTTTAAAATTTTTATTTTATTTATTTGAAATTTTTTTGAAAGACTGAGTTAAAGAGAGAGGTAGAGACAGAGAGAGATATCTCCCATCTGCGGGTTCACTCCCCAAATGGCTGCAACGTCCAGAGCTGTGCCAATCTGAAGCCAGGAGCCAGGATCTGCAACCAGTTCCCCCATGTGAGTGCAGGGGCCTAAGGACCTGGACCACCTTCCAGTGCTTTCCCAGGCCACAGCAGAGACCTGGATCGGAAGACGAGCAGCTGGGACTAGAACCGGCGTTTATATGGGATGCCAGCGCTTCAGGCCAGGGCTTTAACCTGCTGCGCCACAGCGCTTACCCCCCATATATACAGATTTAGGAACATAGTGAGACATCCCCTCCCTCCTGCCCACATTCCAACCCTCCCCACCACGGCCTCATTCCCATTCTTAAATTTTAAAGTGATCTCTTATCAGTATATTTAGTCATCATTATAGTTAATCCTACTCTAGGTAAAGAAGTTCAGCAAATAGTGTGAAGAGAAAGAAAACAAAACAAAAGATTATTCCTCAATGGAAGAGACAAGGGCTATAAACAATCATCCATTCTCAAAATGTCTATTTTGCTGCAATATATTACGTTTCAGGTATTCTGTTAGTTGCATCAGATCAGGGAAAACATGATATTTGTCTTTTTGGGACTGGCTTATTTCACTAAGTATAATGGTTTTCAGTTGTGACCATCCTGTTGCAAGACAGATTTTTTTTTTTTTTTACAGCTGAGTAATACTTCATAGTGTATATATATCATAATTTCTTTATGCAATCAATTGTGGATAGACATCTGGGTTGATTCCATATCTTAGCTATTGTGAATTGTGCTGCAATGAATGTGGGAGTACAGATAACTCTTTCATATACCTATTTCTTTTGGTTTGGGTAAATTCCCAGGAGTGAGATGACTGGATCATACGATCTGAGGCCGGCGCCTCAGCTCAATAGGGTAATCCTCCTCCTGTGGCACCGGCACACCGGGTTCTAGTCCCCGTTGGGGCGCCGGATTCTGTCCCGGTTGCCCTTCTTCCAGTCCAGCTCTCTGCTGTGGCCCGGGAGTGCAGTGGAGGATGGCCCAAGTGCTTGGGCCCTGCACCCGCGTGGGAGACCAGGAGAAGCACCTGGCTCCTGGCTTCGGATTAGCGCGGTGCACCGGCCACAGCGGCCATTGGGTTGTGAACCAACAGAAAAAGGAAGACGTTTCTCTCTGGAGAAACCTACTGTGTCACAGTGCTGACACCAAGGATCACTGAAATTTGCATGTTTGAAAGGGTGGCTGAATGAAGCTGAAATTTAATTTTATTTATATTTATTTGAGACGCAGACAGAAAGAGTGACAGAGATAGAGGGAACTTCTGTCTGCTTGTTTACTCACAAATGCCCACAATGGCTGGCCCTGGGCCAGGTGGAATTCAGGAGCTGAACTCAATCTGGGTCTCCTAGGTGGGTTGCAGGGACCAAGCTATTTGAGCCACCATATGCTGTCTCCCAGGGTGTGCACCAGCAGGAAGCTTGAATCCAGAATAGAACTGAGACTGAAACCCAGGTACCCTGATATGAATTGCAGGCATCCTAAAAGGTTAATGATTAGCCAAACACCTGCCCCTGAAGTGAAATTTAGAACTTTAGGGAGGTCTGATGTTGAACCAAGGAGAGGAAGGGCCCAGTTTGCTGGCTCTGGTATCTCTGAGGGTGTGTAATAAGGCTTGTTCTGTTAGAGCTGGAAAAACTACAAACTACACTTAGCTGCTGCCACGGGAAAGAACTGCTGCCAGAGTGAGTAAGTGTTGCTGGGGTGATGATCACAAGAGCCGGAAGCAGATGGAAGGAAGTTTCTTCTTCTTCCATCCTTGTCTTCAGCCTCTAGTTCCTGCGTTTGGTGGAGCCTAACGTGGAGCCAGCTGGTAAAGCAGAATTGTGGTTTCCAGGGTCTTGCCCACAGCATCACAAAGTGTGAAGGCTGAGTTTGATAACTGGATCAGAGAGCTAAGGAAACCAGAACAGAAACTAGGGGTGTTTATAATATAAAAGCATTTGAAATACTGATGTCATTATTAAATAAAAGCAAGCTTTACATAACGACCATAAATAGAGACTCAAAGAAACCATGCATGAGAAAATAAGGAAAATTTAGCAAATTTAGAACTCTATACAAATAACAGAAATGGAGAAACAGAGCAGATTCAAGTCTTCCACCAAGTTAATAGTAGGTTTAGATTGTAAAATTGGATTTAAGTTTATTAAATTTTTATTAACAGAGCAGCTTAAGGTTTACAGAAAAATATGCAAGGACAGAGTGTTCCCATATATGTCCTCCTCTTTCTCTCCAACATCGCACATTATTGTATTACAGTTGTCTCAATTGGTGACTCAATCTTGTTGCAATAACTTAGATCCATTATATATATATATGCATACACATATGCATATATATATATATATATTCAATCTTTCTGGTGGACACCTGTGGATTTTGAGTTCCCTTAACCCTTCTGGCCAATTTTTATTGATTTTGTTTGATTATTTGTGTCCTTCATTGTTTGCATGTAAGCATTCCCTGGGAAATTTCCTTAGCTTTCTTCTCTTATGTTTGTTCTCTCTCCTCTTTTGCTGCCCTATAGCTTTTCCAATTTTCTTTCTTCCTTTCTTCTTGTTTTCTTTTGTCTTTTTTTTTTGTTTGTTTTTAAAGATTTATTTATTTATTTGAAAGGTAGAGAGTTACAGAGAAGCAGAGACAGAGAGAGAGAGGTCTTCTATCTGCTGGTTCACTCCCCAGATGACCTCAATAGCCGGAGCTGGGCTGATATAAAGCCAGCAGCCAAGAACTTCTTCCAGGTCTCCCACATGGGTGAGGGGCCCAAGGACTTGAGCCATTTTCTACTGCTTTGCCAGGCCATAGCAGAGAGCTGGGTCAGAAGTGGAGCAGCTGGGACTTGAACTGGCGCTCATATGGGATGCCAGCACTGCAGGCAGTGGCTTTACCTGCTACACCATAGCGCCAGCCCCTCTGTTGTCTTTATTAAAAGATTTATTTATTTTATATGAAAGAGAGAGAGGCAGAGAGAGAGAGAGAGAGAGAGAGAGAGAGAGATCTTCCATCTGCTGGTTCACTCCACAAATGGCTGCAACAGTCAGTACTGGGCCAGGTCAAAGCCAGGAGCCAAGAACTTCATCTGGGTCTCCCATGTGCAGGAACCCAGGGATTTGAGCTATCTTCTGTTGCTTCCTCAGGCACATTTGCAGGGAGCTGAATTGGTAGTAGAGCAGCCGGGAATCAAACTGTTACCCATTTGGGATGCTGTTGTCCCAGGCAGTGGCTTAACCCTCTATACCACAATACTGGCCCTATAGTTTTCTCACCAGTAAAATAAGAGATCAGACTAGAAGCCTCCAAGTTTTTTCTGATTTTCCCAAAATCAGTGATTGGCTGTGTCAAATTTGGACTCGTCACAGATTTCCTCCAAGCTCATCCTGTTTTCTGTACATTTTATTTTTTTAAATATTTATTTATTTATTTGAAAGTCAGAGTTACACAGAGAGAAGAGAGGCAGAGAGAGAGAGAGAGAGAGAGAGAGAAAGAGAGGTCTTCCATCCGATCATTCACTCCCCAAACGGCTGGAGCTGTGCCGAACCGAAGCTAAAAAATGATCCTTTTGGTTGCCCAGGCTTAAAGTATTGATATATCCATTTTGTCACTGCAGCCTGCTGATTTGAGCTTCCTATTGTCTGTTAGATTGATTTTTTTTAAAGATTTATTTATTTGGAAGGCAGAGTTACAGAGAGGCAAAGGCAGAGAGAGAGAAGTCTTCAACTGCTGTTTCATTCCCCAAATGGCTGCTAGGGCTGGAGCTGGGCTGATTTGAAGCCAGGAGCCAGGAACTTCTTCCGGGTCTCCCAAACGCGTTCAGGGGCCAAAGCACTTGGGCCATCTCCTACTACTTTCCCAGGCCATAACAGAGAGCTGAATTGGAAGAGGGGCAGCCAGGACTGAAACCAGTGCCCATATGGGATGCTGGCACTATAGGGGCAGCTTTACCCACTACAACACAGCATTGGCCCCCTGTTAGATTCTTGTCCCCATTCCCTCTGCCATGTTCCAAGTTTCTGCTGTTTGTCTTCTTGTTGCTTCTTTGTAGCAAGCATTCCTGCTTTCTGAGGTCCTGTGACTTCTGGAGAGAGGAGCTGTGCTGGAAATGGCCCTCTGTGAGTAGCAATCTAGCTGCATATTGCTACCAGCAGAAACAGAGGACATAATTCAGAGAAACTTGCTTCGTTAATGCAAAAAGGGAGTAATTTCCTCCTTCTTGTGCCATCATATTAAATGTTTTCTAAATGTGTGTGCCTTTTTTTTTTTTTTCAGCATAATGGGAGTTTTGAGTAACAAGTGTGGTTTTCAACTCCAATATCAAATGATTTTTTCAATATGGCTCCTGGCATTCAGTCCTCAAATGTGTGAACACCTGCGGCGCTACAATATCATTCCTGTTCTGTCCGATATCCTTCAAGAATCCGTCAAAGAGAAAGTAACAAGAATCATTCTTGCAGCATTCCGTGTAAGTGGTCTGTATTTGATATGTAAGTGTCTGGCATTTTCCACTGTGCTATATTTTTGAGTTTTTAGCAGGTTGGAAAATGTTGCTTGTTTTCCCTGTTATTATAGAAAAAGTTGCTTGTTTTCCATGTGGTTGTGAAACTATAGAGTCGTGGTGAACATAGAGTGAAATACCACTAGTTTGTATTTCTGACATGTGACAATGGGACAAGTGGGAGGAGACCATCTAGATGAATGAAGTGTGTTCGTTTAAGAAAATGTCAGAGGGAGAGAGGTTCCATTTTGCAATAGTGCATTCTGAGACTGTTGAAATTTTTCTCTTCTTGTGCCCATATTTTAGTTATAGAGTTTTCTGGCATAGGATAAAATCAACATAGTTGAGAACAGAGTAAATAACATCTATTTGTGGCTATGCAGGATTGTAGTCTGGAAGACAGATTCAAGCAGTCTTGAAAGCATGCTCCAAGATTTTACAAGATGATAGCTGTATTTGAAGCTTAAGATCACAAAGTGGTGGTGGTGGTTACATTATTTGCTTGTTAAGAATTGTGCATGGTGCTGTCAAGAATCAAGCTGTCCTATAATTCAGGAGAGGCAGGGCGTTTTACAAATGGTTAACATAAGCTACTGAATTTCAGTTTGGTCTAGTCCAGTGAACAGCATGCACCTGGTTGCACACTCATTTAAAGGTTTAGCTGCAAGTGTGTCTAGCTGAAATCTGGTTTAACAGTGGCTTCCCAACTCATTGTAAGTGCCCCAAACTAATGTTACTCCATTTTTTCCCCCTTCCTTGACCAACTGTGTTTTTGTTTCTAGATCTGTTGATTAGCACTATATTTCTGAGACACTATGCAGGTTTATTTATTTTTTAGGTTATTAAATCTATCAGTTATCTAAGTCAGCTTCCTCCCTTGAATAGGTGAGAAAGTTGAGCACCAGAGAGGAGCTGAGGTAGAATATGAAGCCCAGGTTTCCAGGCTGTTGTAACATACAAAGGAAGTACTGCTAATTGGTTACCAAGAGACAATGTATTCACTCTAGCAGTTGCCTTGATGATTTTGTTGTTTGCCTTGGGTGTTAGAGGGCTTCTGAGAAAATGGCTTGGTTGACATGTGTCTCTATATGTTTTTTTTTTTTTTTAAGATTTATTTTATTTGAAAGGCCGGGGGTGTTGCAGAGAGAGGTTTCTTCCATTCTCTGGTTCACTCACCAAATGGCTACAATGACCAGGGTTAGGCCAGGCCAAAGCCAGGAGCTGGGAGCTTCTTCCAGTTCTCCCACATGGGTGCAGGAGCTCAAGTACTCGGGCTGTCCTCTGCTGCTTTCCCAGGCACGTTAGCAGGGAAGTAGATTAGAAGTCAAGCAGCTGGAACTCAAACTGGTGCTGGTATGGGATGCAGGTGTTGCAGGAGGCAACTTTATCCACTATGCCACAACGTTGGCTCTGACCTAGGTCTTTTAAGAACACTACTCAACAGTGATAATAGTGAACCAATCTAGTGCTTGCTCGGTGCCTTCCACTTGCTCCAAGAGGGCCTTACATTTGTTAACTCATTTAATGCTCACCATAGTATATGGGTATGATGGGTATTTATGTTGGTCTTCACTTTGTAGATAGGGATAGTGAGGCAAAGGGATCACATTGTTGGTAGTTGATAGATATTCAATTATAGGTTATTGCCTTCAGAATCTTTTATCAAGATTTATTTATTTATTTGAAAGGCAGAGTTACACAGAGAAATGAAGAGATAGAGACAGAGCATCTTTCTTCTGCACAGTCAGGGCTGGTTCAGGCCAAAGCCAGGAGCCTGGAACTCCATCTGGGTCTCCTACGTGGGTGCAGGGGCCCATGCACTTGGCTATCCTACACTGCCTTCCCAGGGAGCTGGATTGGACATGGAGCAGTCAGGACTGGAAGTAGTGCCCACATCAGGATGTTGGTATTACAAATATTGACTTTAACCCTCTTTAACACTAGCCCCAGAATTTGTGTTCTTACCTACTCTTTGTTTATTTTTATTTTTATTTTTTATTTTTTATTTTTTTTTAATTTTTGACAGGCAGAGTGGACAGTGAGAGAGAGAGACAGAGAGAGAAAGGTCTTCCTTTGCCGTTGGTTCACCCTCCAATGGCCGCCGCTGCAGCCGGCGCACCGCGCTGATCCGATGGCAGGAGCCAGGATCCAGGTGCTTTTCCTGTTCTCCCATGGGGTGCAGGGCCCAAGCACCTGGGCCATCCTCCACTGCACTCCCTGGCCATAGCAGAGAGCTGGCCTGGAAGAGGGGCAACCGGGACAGAATCCGGCGCCCCAACCGGGACTAGAACCTGGTGTGCCGGCGCCGCAAGGTGGAGGATTAGCCTATTGAGCCACGGCGCCGGCTTACCTACTCTTTGTTCTTGTGATTTCTTTAAATAAACAAGTCAAAAATAAAAAGTAGTTAAGATATATGCAAAAATGTTAATAGTGTAGAAAACACATTTGCCAAATAGCAACTAACATTTCAGATATTTCTAAGCAGGTAGAGAGAAACATGTAAATAGATGTATGGTTTATTTGTATGTAAAAATAAAACAGCATTTTACTTTAAATACTGTTCTGCAACTTTTTAAAGACAGCAAAGAATAAATATATTTTCATTTCTGTATAAACAGATCTTTAGTATTCTTTTTAATGACTATATTTATTCCATTGTGTTGTTGTAAAGTGATTTATTTTACTAGTGTCCTGCTGTTGGTTATGTCAAGTATTTCCATTTTCTGTTACATGTGTTTTATGTGTTTCCCCACTTTGATGACTATTTCATTTGAATATAGTCAAGAGATGGAATTACTGAGTCAGAGAGATATGCTTTTTTACTCTTTTGATAAGTAATGCCAAATACTTTTTTTCCCACCAAAGAAACCTTTTATTTAATAAGTACAGATTTCTTAAGTATAACTTTAGGAATATAGTGATTCTTCCCACCATACCCGCCCTCCCAACCCCACTCCCACTCCACTACCTCCTCCCTCTGCCATTCCCAGTTCCATTCTCCATTAAGATTCATTTTTATTATAACTGCCTTGTAGTATGTCTTAAAATCTGGTATTATGATGCCTCCTTCTTTGTGTTTGTTGTGGAAGATTGCTTTAGCTATTTGAGGTCTCCTATATTTCCATATGAATTTTGGCATTATTTTTTCTAGATCTGGGAAGAATGTCTTTGGTATTTTGATTGCTATTGCATTGAATCTGTAAAATGCTTGTGGAAGAATGGACATTTTGATGATATTGCTTCTTCCAATCCATGAACATCGAAGATTTTTCCATTTATTTGTATGTTCTTCTGTTTCTTTCTTTAAAGCTTTGTAATTCTCATCATAGCAATCTTTAACATCCTTGGTTAAATTTATTCCAAGGTATTTGATTTTTTTTGTAGGCATTGTGAATGGGGTTGATCTTAGAATTTCTTTCTCAGCTATAGCAATGTCTGTGTATACAAAGGCTATTGATTTTTGTGTATTGATTTTGTATCCTGGAACTTTACAGAACTCTTCTATGAGTTCCAATAGTCTCTTTGTGGAGTCTTTTGGATCCCCTATATATCGAATCATGTCATCTACAAATAGGGATAGTTTGAGTTCCTCCTTCCCAATTTTTATCCCTTTGATTCCTTTTTTTTTTTTTTTTTATCCTGATGGCTCTGGCTAAAACTTCCAGGACATATTGAATAACAATGGTGAGAGTTGGCATCCTTGTCTGGTTTTGGATCTCAGTGGAATGCTTCCAACTTTTCCCCATTCCGTGTGGTGCTGGCCATGGGTTTGCCATAAATTTCCTTGATTGTGTTGAGGAATGTTCCTTCTATACCCAATTTGCTTAGAGTTTTCATCCTGAAAGGGTGTTGTGTTTTATCAAATGCTTTCTCTGCATCTATTAAGATAATCATATGTTTTTTGTTCTGCAGTTTGTTAATGTGATGTATCACATTGATTGATTTGCAAATGTTGAACCATCCCTGCACACCAAGGATAAATCCCACTTGGTCTGGGTGAATGATCTTTCTGATGTGTTGTTGGATTTGATTGACTAGAATTTTGTTGAGGATTTTTACATCTATGTTCATCAGGGACATTGGTCTGTAATCTGTTTCTCTGTTGCATCTTTTTCAGGTTTCTAGAAAACAATGGACTTCTAATAAGTTATAGTGCAGATTGAGTACTCCTTATCTGAAATGCTTGAGAGTAGAAGTGTATCAGATTTCACAGTTTTTCAGATTTGGGGATATTTGGAAAGACTCGACTGATTGATCATCCCTGTTCCAAAAATCAAAGCTCTGAATTGCCTGGCCAGAATGTTTTGGATTTTGGAACATTTTGAACTTTGAATTTTTGGGTCAGCGTAAACTACCTTAAACATCATAAGATAGCCATTATATCTGAGCTTCTGACAGTCTTTAGTTTTCTGTCCTCACTTAGTTGTTCCTTCTCTCCATTGTTTTTCATTTTGGATCATTACTATGTAAAGTAAATGGGTCATTGGAAATAGGTCTTTCTTCTTTCCTCCTTTCCTTCTGTCTCATGCATTATTCACCTAAGAATGCATTAGAAGTTTATTGAAGACCAAATATATGAAGGTAATGTGTTAGTTCTAAGGCTGTGCAAAGATGAAAAAGACTCTTTGTCTTGATGGAGTAACTTGATGAAATCACCATGTTTATAATACGCAGGCCCAATAATTCATAAAAGCATAGAGTGGATCCAAAATCATAGCCATTCTTTTGACCTGATTTGGGAGCTCTCTGGATCTGTGATGTACTTTTCATTGAAATTTGAGAAGTGGGGGCCAGCGCTGTGGCATAATGGGTAAAGCCGCCACCTCCAATGCCAGCATTCTGTTTGGGCACTCATTCAAGTCCAAGCTGCTCCAGTTCTGATCCAGCTCCTTGCTAGTGTGCCTGGGAAAGCAGTAGAAGATGGCCTATGTCCTTGGGCCCCTGCACCTGTGTGGGAGACTTGGATGAAGCTACTGGCTTCTGGCTTTGGATCGACACAGCTCTGGCTATTGTGGCCATTTGGGGAGTGAACCAGCAGATGGAAGACCTCTCTCTCTGCTTCTCTCTTGCCTTTCCATTCAAATAAATGAATAAATAAATAAATAAATTTAAAGAAAAAAGAAATTTGAGAAGTGGAATAGTGTAACTCTTTCCTCATTTTCAGTATGGTATGATAGAATGACAGACTGGAGTAGATAGAACTTGGAAGATGATTAATAATACTTAACTCTTTTCAATACTGCGTAGAGACTTAATGAGGTGACAAATGGAGTGCCTAGAAATAGTTACATACAATATTTGTTTCCCTGCTTTTTCTCTTTACAGCTTGCCTTTTTAGACCTTTTCTCTCCACAACTTGGAGTCGTGCTGAATTGATGTTGAGCCCAGACAAAAATCTAGTGAAGTTTTGTTTGATTTAGAAGAGGCAGCATGAATATTTTACAAATATTTAGCAAGATTTAAAAATCTTATTTTAAGCTGTATTTATAGTTGCTATATTTTTAAAAACCAAAATGCCTAGAACTTAATAGGATATCTTCTGAGCTTTCATTGTCTGATTTTGGATATCAGTTTATAGACCCAATCCATTGGCAGACATACTAGGGTTATTTTTATTTATTTATTTATTTTTTTTGTGGCTCTGCTATGCTAAATTTGAGTTAATACGGTTGCCATGCTAATATGCTGAGGACTGAAAGAAGAATGCTTTAGACATCCATACAACTGAATTAAAATTGAGCTATTATTAAGGCATACTATTTGGTGAATTTGTAGCATAGGGTTAAACCTTATGAGTGTAAAGTATACTGAAAATAGATCTTTATAAAAATTAGAGTGGAAATAGGATAGGAAGGACAAAGAAGGTTGGAGCATGGGCGGGAAAGAGGGTGGGGTGGGAAGTATCACTATGTTCCTAAATCTGTATATATGAAATAAGTAAAACTTATGTATCTTAAATAAATTTTAAAGGAAAGAAATAAACCTGTCATCATTGTGAAATAATGAATTGAAGACAGTAGCTCTGCAAGCTTCCTAAGGTCTTAAGCACAAAAACTTCAGGATATGGGAAAGAAATATGTGACCAGAACGTCGTCAAACAATCTCATCAGTGAAATCCTTTTTTTAAAGACTGTAGCAACTTGAGAATGGTTTTTTCAAAAAATCATTTTCCTCACTTGTTCAATGGCCTAAAAAATGGCATTGAAGTAGTTCTAGAAGCACATTAACTTGGTTTTGTGTTGCTACTCTACTTGTTATCTATAATAAATTTTAAAAAAAGATTACTAGAAATATTGACATTTATAGATGTAAACACTGAGGGGGTAATTTTAGGTTTACACATATTTTATTGACTCTCAACTGTAAACCAAATACTGTGCCAAGCACTGTGATACAAAGAAAAATGAGACACACTATTCTAAAGGTACTTAAAATCTGGTGAAAACCATAAAGGGAGGTTGATCTCACTAACTTCCACATGTTAGGCTGAATTTCTTTCTGCTTTTTTTTTTTTAGCACGATTATTAAAGGTATAACTTGCTTACAATAAGACATTTTAAAATTACAATTTTGGGAACAATTAATTTGGAGTTAATAGTTACTAAGTGATTTTATATTATTATTATTATTTTAGCATTTGACAGATTGTCTTTACCAGAGTGGTGAAATAACTTTCTTGATTGGAGGGGCCCTAGCTTGTTTGTCCTTGGGTTGAGCATGATCCTTACTCAGAAATATTGGTTAATTTAATGAACAATTTTTAAGTTCACGAGTTCCTTTGCTATTTTTGTAAGTACTCTTGAAAGCAGAAAATTGTAGAAGGCTATGGAATTTTCTGGAATCAGAACACTTTTCTAATAATTGTTCAAGCAGGAGAGTTTTTCACTTTTCCCTGTTGTTCTTTGATTAGCCATTGGGGAAGATGACTGAGTGGAAACTAGAGATATTTGAAGAAACCTTTTTTCTAAGTACGTTAGGTAGGCAACGAACATGTTCACTGCAGTATGCTCAGGAGCAAGGTTGCAAGGAGGAAGGATTGCAATGGATTTCATAGTTAATATGTTCAGTATTTTGAGATTCATGTGGATCAATAAGTAAGGATGTTTAGTAAGCCAGTTATTATGTAAGTAATCATAAATAGGTTTCTGATAAAGGACGGGCTCAGGAAATAAGTTAGGATTTGAGATAAAGTCATCCACTTAAGGTGATGGTTAAACCTGAGATTAGGCAGAAGAGAGAAGGGTAAAAGAAAATGCAGAAGTCTTAGAACAGCACATGACAAATTATGTAGCTTCTCATTATCTGTTTGTCTTAACCCAGAACTTTTTAGAAAAATCAACTGAAAGAGAAACTCGCCAAGAATATGCTTTGGCAATGATTCAGTGCAAAGTTCTGAAGCAGTTGGAGAACTTGGAACAGCAGAAATATGATGACGAAGATATCAGTGAAGATATCAAATTTCTTCTGGAAAAACTTGGTGAGAGTGTCCAGGATCTTAGGTGTGTTGTTCTTTTTGAATTTGCACATGCTAGATCTGTTGGGCTTTGTTTCACTTGCATAGCTTTTTAAGAAAATCTGAATTTTTACCAACTATTAGAATCAAGTGAGACATCTTGTGTTAAGACGCCACACTTACATGGCGGTGTTTGGTCAGAGCTGTGTGTGACCTCTTCGTTTTCTGTTTAGAGCCTGAGTGCCTTACTCTCACAGGATGTTGGCCTGAACCTGGAACTCCTTGGGAGTCTTTTTAGGCAGCAATGGGACTTGGTTAATTTGTCAATGTTTGTTCAATTTGGAAAGTATTTTTTTCTATTTTTGAATGTTCTATTGGCATATTTTATTTTTTTATATTAGAAATCATAGAAATGTTATACATAAAAAAGAGGCCTCTTGCATAGTATATACTGAAGGGTCTCATTGCACCTGCCATCTTCTCCACCCAGTTTCCCTCCTCTGGATTTCTTTATTTGCTTCCAGAAGCCTCCTAGTCCCTTTTCCTTCCCCTCATCCCCCATACCTGGGGTTTTATACAGCCTTCTGCATCTTGTTTTGTTTAGTAATATCTTGATGATTTTCCCCATTAACAAGTATATTCTTTGTTTTTAAACTATTGACATATTTTTGAAAGAGAGTTACTCTCTGGAAATAGAACCCTTCCTGTAGGTGGATTGGGTTTGGGAGCCAAAGCTGACTTGGACTTGAATTGTTTGACTATTTTCTCCATATGCATGGAGAAAAACATTCTGAATTTTTCTTTTGATTTCACAGTCATCAAAATGCTAATTTTGCATGATTTATTGTGAGGTTCCTACTGCCCAGCAATCCCTTCAGTGCAGTTCTGAGGGACCTTAAAAAAGTTCATAGAAAACACATAAATATGCACTATAAACATAACTATGAAACTTTTAGATACCAAAATAAACTTTACCTGTTAATTCCAGTTTTCATGAACTCTTTGAAGTGCCTCCATATATGCTATATAAATGTGTTTACTGGATAATTCAGTGAAGCCATAATGCCAGAGGATTTCATAGAGGTGGGAGCTGCTCTCTAAATCAGTGATTTGTGATAATTTTTACATGGAGGGATGCAATTATTACATTTTATAATTTCAAATAGGGAGAAGTTAATTACAATATGATAGGTCAGCAATAGGCTTCACAATTATAAAATTTATTATTATGTCTATTTTAAGAAATATGATCAATTCTGTAATCATCAAGGCTTGCTTTTAAAAATAATATTAATGATAGCTTTCTAAATTATTTAATTCATGTAGGCCAATTATTATTACTTACTGCTATTTCATCTTGAATTTCATAATTTGAAAAATACTATTTTTGATGTGAAGGTAATAGGATAATGGATGCAGCTGAAAGAAGTGTCTCTGTTTTTCTTTAGGTTTGGATATGAAAGTTAAAAATACTGACCTACTTTTTATAATAACTGACCTTACATTAAATTACTACCTTATTCAAACTGATCAACTTACCTAGAATATCCCAGTTATGTGGAATTATCAGTCGATGCTGAGATGCTACATTTCTTTTTAAAATTTTTTGCTTGAAAGAAAGTCTAAGCAAATTCTGATACTATGTTTGCCAACTAGCCTACCTCATTAAATATGTTCATATTGTAAAGCTTCAAATAACAAACTAACAAATGATGAATAGTTTTTGAATCAAGGTGAATTATAGTTTGTTGTATACAGAAGTTTTATATTAAATTCATCTATAATGGATTCATTTAATGAATATGTTACCTCTACATTGTTGATAATCATATTATAAAATGTACTGATACTTTTGTGATATTGCTTTTGTGATATATTATGGTGGTTTGTGATATTTATACTTTCTATTTAGAGTTTATTATTTTGTGTACAAGGACTATGATTTTACATAATTTACATTAATATCTCTAGTAGTCTGCAAATTTTAAGTGCATTGTGATAGGAATTCTGGTAGATCTTTTTTTTTTTTTTTTACTGATATACATTCATGTATATATCGAGGTAAGGATTTTTGAAGGCAAGAACTCATTTCAGTGTTGCCTGCCAAGCATGCAAATGTAACAGGAGTGTTGCATTTTAATACCCTAAGTAAAATTTTACATGATTTGTTAGATATTTTAAAGTTGTTTACACTTTGTTTGATGGCACTGTTAATATATAAAGGATGGTTAGTTTTGTAAGTAAATCATCAGTGAAGATGTTGCATTTTGATTCAGATTTGTAAACTTTGAATTCTATGGAAATTTTTATAGCTCATTTGATGAGTACAGTTCGGAACTTAAATCTGGAAGGTTGGAATGGAGTCCTGTGCACAAATCTGAGAAATTTTGGAGAGAGAATGCAGTGAGGTTAAATGAGAAGAATTACGAACTCTTAAAGTAAGTTTTTTATTCCTCTTTTCAAATATTCACTGGCACGTTTTTGTCACTCTTTAAATTTAGTAGTCTAAAAGTTGTGTGGATGTGGTTTTTTTCCTCTCCCTTTCTGTTTCTCTCAAAACATCTGTTTGCTAAAACATTTGTTAGCACTGTTTGCTAAAAATAACATCTCCTCTGGTGCTTTGAGGTTTGCCTTTGTCATAATAAGATGGCCAAATATGTGTAAGTATCTTTCCTTTTTAGTGAGATATAATTCACATATCATACAATTCATCTGCTAGAAGTGTACAGTTCAGTGGTTTTCGTATATACGCAGATATGTACAGCCATCAACACTGTCCATTGTGAGCATTTTCATCACTTCAGAAAGAAACCTTATATTCTGTAGCTGTCAGATCTCTGTCCACCCGTTTGCCTATCCTTAAGTGACCACAAATCTGTGTTCTGAAGATTTTCCTACTATAGAAATTTCATACAAATGGCATAATTTAGTATTTGTCCTTTTGTGACTGGCTTCTTTTGCTTACCATAATATATTGAAGCTTCACCAATGTTTTTATTCCTTTTTATGGTTGAACAATATTTGTTTTGGTCAGTGTTTCGTTACTACAATGAAAGTACTGGAGGCAGCCTAACTTTATGAAGAAGAGGTTTATTTGGCCCAGAGTTCTAGAGGTTCACAGTTCAGTTCAGTGGACTCTCTTGGTTCAGCTTCTGGTGATGGCAGTTTTTCTTTCTGGCAGAGTCCGTGAGGTGCACAGGGCATCATGTGGCAAGAAACAGGGAGCATGAGTGTGTACACTGGTCTCTCTTCTTATAAAGCTGCCATTGTTCAATCATGGGGGCTCTACCCTGTTGACCTGATTCTACCTGATCACTTCCCAAAGGTTCTATCTCAAAACAGCATAGTTGCATTAGGTTTTCAGCCTCTTCGTTCCATTAACATAAATAAGACTTTAGGAACTTAACCCCTAAGTTTGGTGGGACAAACATTCAAACCATAGCAATATTCATTGTATGGCTAAGAACACATTTTATTTATTCACTTATCAGTTCATGGATGTTTGAGTTATTTCTACCTTTTTTTTTTTAAGATTTATTTATTTACTCTAAAGAGTTACACAGAGGAGAGGTAGAGGTAGAGGTAGAGGTAGAGGTAGAGGTAGACGTAGAGGTAGGCCCTCCATCCGCTGGCTCACTCCCCAAATGGCTGCAACGGCCGGAGCTGCACCAATCCAAAGCCAGGAGACAGGAGCTTCTTCCAGGCCTCCTATGCGGGTGCAGGGGTCCAAGGACCTGGGCCATCTTCCACTGCTTTCCCAGGCCACAGCAGAGAGCAGGATCAGAAATGGAGCAGTTGGGATGCCACAGGAGATGCTGGCACAGCAGGGGCAGCCCCACCTGCTATGCCACAGCTAAGGCTCCTCTACCTTCTTGTTATTATGAATAATGCTGCCAGTAATACTTGCAATACAAAGTGTTGTGCAGAATTGTATTTTTGTTACCTTTGCCTGGTTGGGTACCTGTAAGTACAATTGCAGAGTCATGTAGTAGCTCTGTTTAGCCATTTGATGAACTACCGAAGTGCTTTCTAGCACTTTGTAGTGGTAGATGCAATATATGAGGGTTCTGATTTTTCCACCTCTTTGCCAAGACTTGTTAGTATATGACCTTTTGATTCTACAATCTTAGTGGGTTTGCAGCTGTATCTCTTTGTAGTTTCTGTTTGTATTTTTGGATGGCAAATGTTCTCAAGCATCTTTTCATGTGTTTATTGTACACTTGTATATCTTTGGCAAAGTTTGTATTCAGATTCTTTTTTTTGAAAAAAGTTTATTTTATTTATTTGAAAAGCAGAGTTACAGATAGAGAGAGAGAGGGAGGGAGAGAGAGAGAGAGAGAGACAGATAGAGACAGAGAGACAGAGAGAGGTCCTCCATCTGCTGGTTCACTCCCCAAATGGCCACAGTGGCTGGGCTGTGCCAGCCCGAAACCAGTAGCCAGGAGCTTCTTCTGGGTCTCCCATGCTGGTGCAGGGCCCAAGGACTTGGACATCCTCTGCTGCTTTTCCAGGAACATTAGCAGGGAGCTGGATCAGAAGTGGAGCAGCTGGGACTCCAACTGGCACTCATATGGAATGCCGGTGCAACCGGCGGCAGCTAACTCTCTACTCCACAATGTTGGCCCCACTTACTCATTTTTTTTTAAAGATTTGTTTATTTGAAAGGCAGAATGTAGATAAAGAAAAGGAGAGAAGAAGAGAAAGAAAAGCAGGAGAAAGGGAGGAAGTGGTGGTAGAGGGAAAGAATCTTCCATCTGCTGGTTAACTCCTTAAATGCCTACAGTGGTGAGGCTGGGCCAAGCTGAAGTCAGGAGCCAGGAACTCTATCTGAGTTTTCAATATGGGTAGCAGGAACCCAAGTACTTGGGCCATCATCTGCTGCCTTCCCAGGTATACTGGCAGGAAGCTGGATCAAAAGCAGAGAATCCAGGACTCAAACTAGTACTCAGATAGGAGATGAGGGTGTCGCAACCAGTGGCTTAACCCATGTGCCACATGCTTGCCCTATCTTTGCTCAGCTTTTAGTTGAGTTGCCATTTTTTTCTTTAGTTGTAAAGGTTCTTTATACAGTGCTTCTCAATTTAGAATGGGGTTACATCCTGATAAATGTTCTAAGTCAAAAATTCATTTAATTTCCATTCTACTGAACACAATAGCTTAGCAACACAGTATACTATAGGGAATCAGTGGTTTGCACTCAGTGTATCATGGCAGACTGAGAGCTGATTTTGGTGCTGCTGCCCATTATCCAAGGATCACACTACATGCTGCTAGCCTGGCAAAATAAAATTTGAAGCATAGTTTCTACTGTTTGCCTATCAAACTTTTGTTCCATCATAAAGTTGAAAAATCATAAATCAAACTGTTGTAACCTGAGGATTATATATACTGGATATAAGTCCCTCATTTGAAATGTGACTTGCAAATATTTTTCCCATTTTGTGAGTTGTCTTCTCTCTTTCTTGATAGTATCAGTCAAAACATAAATGTTTTAAACTTTTGGTCCAGTTCATTTTGTTTTGTCTTTGGCTCCTCTTGCCAAAAATAAATTGACTCTAGACACATGTATTTGTTTCTGGACTCTCCATTGGTCTGATGGCTATCCTGATACAGCACCACACTGTCTTGATTACTATTGCTTTATATTAGGTTTCAAAAAGAGGAAGTGTGAGTCCTCTCCCTTTCTACCTCAATCCCTTCCCCTTCCTTCCTGTTTCTCACTTTATTTAGTCAGTCTCCCATTGATGGATATTTAAGATTATTTCCAGATTTTCCTGTTAATTCATTGCAAGAATTACTGTAACTTTTTTATCAACTTTTTTTTCATTTTCAATTATCTTTATATACAGAAGATCGATTTAGTATATATTAAGTAAAGATTTCATCAGTTTGCACCCACACAGAAACACAAAGTGTAAAATACTGTTTACTAGTTATAGCACTACTTCACATTGGACAACACATTAAGGACAGATCCCACATGAAAAGTAAGTACACAGTGACTCTGTTGTTGACTTAACAATTTGACACTCTTGTTTATGGTGTCAGTAATCTCCCTAGGCTCTAGTCATGAGTAGCCAAGGCTATGGAAGCCTTTTGAGTTCTCTGACTTTGATCTTATTCCGACAGGGTCATAGTCAAAGTGGAAGTTCTCTCCTCCCTTCAGAGAAAGGTACCTCCTTCTTTGATGGCCCCGTTCTTTCCACTGGGATCTCACTTGCAGAGATCTTTCATTTAGGTCTTCTTCTTCTTCTTTTTTTTTTTTTTTGTTTTTGTTTTTGTTTTTGTTTTTTTCCAGAGTGTCTTGGCTTTCCATGCCTAAAATACTCTCATGGGCTCTTCAGCAGATCCAAATGCCTTAAGGGCTGATTCTGAGGCCAGAGTGCTATTTAGGACATCTGCCATTCTATGAGTCTGCTGTGTATCCTGCTTCCCATGATGGAGCATTCTCTCCTTTTTTGATTCTATCAGTTAGTATTAGCAGACACTAGTCTGTTTGTGTGATCCCTTTGACTCTTAGACCTATCAGTGTGATCAATTGTGAACTGAAATTGATCACTTGGACTAGTGAGATGGCATTGGTACATGCCACCTTGATGGGATTGTATTGGGATCCCCTGGCATGATTCTAACTCCACCATTTGGGGCAAGTCCGATTGAGCATGTCCCAAATTGTACATCTCCTCCCTCTCTTATTCCCACTCTTATATTTAACAGGGATCACTTTTCAGTTAAAATTTAAACACCTAAGAATAATTGTGTGTTAATCACAGAGTTCAACCAATAGTTCTAGAACAAAACAAAAAAAAATACTAAAATGGATGAAGTATTACATTGTACATCAACAGTCAGGACAAGAGCTGATCAAGTCACTGTTTCTCATAGTGTCCATTTCACTTCAACAGGTTTCCCCTTTGGTTGAGCAGAAAGTACTTGTGTAATCATATATTCCCTGGGGCTGGCGCTGTGGCACAGTGGGTTAATGCCCTGGCCTAAAGTGCTGGCATCCCATGTATGTGCCAGTTCGAGACCCAGCTCTACACTTCCAATCCAACTCTCTGCTGTGGCCTGGGAAAGCAGTGGAAGATGGCCCAAGTCCTTGGGCCTCTGCACCTGCGTGGGAGACTGGGAAGAAGTTCCTGGTTCCTGACTTCAGATTGGTGCAGCTCCGGCCATTGCGGTCAAATGGGGAGTGAACCATCAGATGAAAGACCTCTCTCTGCCTCTCCTCTCTCTGTGTAAAAAAAAAAAAAAAATCATGTATTCCCTCTGTCTCCAGCAGCAGTTTCCCTGTTTTAACATCTTGTATTAGGGTATGGCACCCTTTTTTACAGTTGATAAACCAATATTGATACTTTATTAACTGAAGTCCATAATTTATATTATATTAGGGTTCACTTTTCTTATTGTATAGTTTACTCTCTGTGTTTTATGGTTC